GGCCCAGGAAGTGGCTTTGGAAAGTTCTCTTGAAAATCAAAGGGCAGCTTTGGTGCTCAGAGATTCAAACAGAAAACTATACAAAACCAACTCATAAATATATATATTATATATGTGTGTATATATATATATATATATAAAATTGCAAAATAAAAGCCCAAGAAACTATCAATCTGCATGTCAGTGGCTCAAAAAGTGTTAGCGTAGAGAAAGGCAAAACCATGTGTGGAGTGATGCGTGGTCCAGGGGGCTGGCATTTCAGTAGCAGAGTATTTACATGGAACCCCTATTTGAAACTTCACAATACTAGGAAAAGCTAAACACAGACAGTATATGTACAAAGGAAGACGATTGTCAGACAGAGACATTTCACCGAGACCATCCACAGCTTTAGAGAACACTGCGCTTTCTATCTAGGTCCCCGCACCCCTGCCCGGCGAGCCCAGGCTCTGGATATTTCTCTCCCCACCTCGCCCCTTCCTGGGAGAGGATGAACACTGGACTCAGCAGTTGTAGCGTCGACTGCAGGAATTTGAAGGTGGGGTATACCACGAGAGCAACAATCACTCACAAAGCAGGCCCAGCACGCATGAGGTGGAGTTGAAATGGGGGTCTGGGGACCCCCCAAATATATCCCCATTGTATAAGGGCTTTGATGTATTTAAATGTGGCCCCTCTGTCCTTGGTCCAACTGTTGTCCTCCTCCTGATTCACTTTAAAAGAGAGCTGGCCTTTGAGTTTCTAAAAGTTATACAAGATGATTTGCTGGAGGGGAGAAGAGTTGAGGGGTTTTCTACAATTGTTCTCCGACCACTGCCTAAACCCTCATGCTTTCTTTACACTACTTAGAGATGAGGGGTTTGCCACATCACAGCTGGCCTCGTCCTGCTGCTTGAGAAACAGTGGGCAAGACTAGGAGCCGAGGACCCAACTACACGGGGAAGCTATGGGTGCTGTCACCCCCGAGGCTCTGACTCCAGCTACACCTGAGCCCCTCCCCTGTGCCAGTCATAGAACCATTTCTCCTCCATCTTCAGGCCCCAATTTCTCCCCAAAAGCAATGACTCAACTTTTGGGGACATCCTGAAGGCAAATGGCACCAAACATCAATTTGGCAAAACCTAATACCACCTAAGTACGAACCAATGCAAACGAACCATTACTTCTGTATTTTTAAGAAAACTCTCACCTGGAGATTCTTTCTAATTGTTCCTAAAAAGAGAAAGCTGCCTATAAACATGATGAAAGGAGGTTTCTCCACTAAAGAAGGACACCCCACCTGAAATCCCCATGTTGATTCCTGGGTGAGTGTGGCTTCTCACTGCCAGGGGCTCCAGAGGGTTAGGTGTGCCTTGGTGACAGGGCTCTACATGCGCTCTCTTATTTCTGGCAAAAAGTATTTCTGCCCCATCCAAGAGGAGAGGTTGGTGAGACAGCACATTTGGAAAATAACCAGTCTCCTGTGTATGCTTTTTCACATTGCGGCACAAGTGGAACTATGCACAGAGAAATAATCAACGAGCCTGTTTCATCAGTCAGTTCAGGCCTCTGACTTCTCCTATGAAATTATCCCTTTCAGAATGGACCTGGGACAGTGGCCATACGATGTCCCATCAGGTTTTGAATTCTGGGATGCCCTGTGCTTTCTGTGGGGGTGGAGAGCATATATTTATCCCCTCCCTCGTTTCTTCTCAGACTCTGTATTTTATTGTCTTAGAGAGTTTTCTTGGGTTTAGGCAGTGAGAAGATATAACAAGACCTGTTTCCTCTGTGCTCAGTCAACTGCAGCTGTGCCCACCGACTCAAGGGTTTCTGCTGACCCACGTGAGTAAAATGAGTAAGTGCTATATGTTTTCTCATTTGTTCAATAGTCAAAACCCAAATCCTCTTGGCCTGGAACTACAACATAAACTTCACGCTTGTGCAAAAGATGGCATACAGGCCGATGGTAGGCTGTGCATCTATCTAGCCCTATGCATACCTGTGTGGAAAAATTCAAACTTCTTTTTAACCTTATAGACTTTCAGAAGTGAATCGTGCTCTTGGGTGAATGGTTCTTTCAAATCCACGACAACCAGTGAAGTGGCTTTATAGTATGTCTTCCCTCTGTCTTGCCACATTCATGAGTGAGTGACACAGTGTGTCAATCCTTTGAACAGGATTCAAAGCTCAGAGCACATAAATCATGCTTTCCAGTGCACCAGGCTCCTCATCCAAATCCAACCCCAAGTCCTTTAAAAAGAACTTATCTGTCTGCCGAGGGAGAAGCCCATTTTAGCTACAGGAGTGTTGAGGGAGATTATTATTATCAGATCAATGTATAACCTGGCTATTGTAGGACAGTTACCTGGGTCACCTGCAGGCTAGGAGGCTCTTATGGAGCCCAGATCTGGACTAGGGGGTTGTCTCTTGCCAGCGCTTTTTGCAAAGTTTCCGGAAAGGTCATGTGTTGTGGATGGTGCTCCCATAGCAATGCTGGTGCCAGCCACCAGTGCATGGAGAGACTTCCCATGGGAACAGCCTCAAAACCTCCCCACTTCCCAGCTCAGCTGGCCACAGCACAGCAGATTGGTTCAAATTTTCTCGTCCTTTCTCTGCGGCATATCCAAGCACAGTGGCTTTACTAGACATGAACCTATTGTCTACAAATTCTGAGCTCTCCACATACACATTTTCTCCAGACAGATACTCATCTAAGTTTTCAGCCAGCTTTTATCTAGAGCCAGAGAAAAATGCCCCTCCTCTCATCCTAAAAGCCTATGGTTTTCTTTGGACGGCTAGTCTGCTTCAACAACCTTCTGTGCACGGCCTCAAGACTGGAGCTACGTGTGTCATGTCCTGCATGGACAAGGGAAGAAGAAATTGGCAGAATGACTCAACAGTCCTCCCAGCAATTCTACACCAAGACTAAATAGAACTGGGAACTGCGCTAAGCATTAACTCTTTGAATATTTCCCTGTCCTTGTTGCAACTCTCTAAGATGCCTTATCCAAAGAATTTGATAGAGCTGAATTCTGTGCTGGAAGCTCACTATTTGCTACAAAGGAAAAAGTAGTGTAAGACAGGCCACCAAGCACGTTTTAGTAGTGACGTTTCAGAAACATAGAGATTTCCCATGTCTTCTGCCTACTCCTCTGCAGACCATTCTCCACTCTGCCAACGAAGAGGGTTTTTCTTTTCTTTGTGAGGAAGATTAGCCCTGAGCCAACAACCCTTTCCAACCCTCCTCTTTTTGCTGAGGAAGATTGGCCCTGGGCTAACATCCGTGCCCATCTTCCTCTACTTTATATGGGACGCCGCCACAGCATGGCTTGACAAGCGGTGCTTCGGTCTGCACCCAGGATCCGAACCTGTGAACCCCGGGCCTCGGAAGTGGAGCGCGCAAACTTAACCACTACGCCGGGACGGCCCTCCAGAGATTTTTCTAAAATGCGAGGCTGATCCAGACTCTACCCTGATCATAAGCCCTCAGCGGCTCCAAATCCCGAACATGATCAAGTCTAGCTCCTCCACACCTTTTACAAGTTTCTTTACGACCCAGGCCTGCCCACTGGTGAAGTGAACCCCCGCTGCCTTACTGATGCTCTGGCAGAACTGAATTACTCAGTGGACGTGTCATGGAGTTTCATGCCTCCATGTTTTTGCCCATGCTCTTCCCTCGTCCCTGTTGTCCTCCTGTTAAATTCCTCATTGTTTTAAAAACCTAACTCGACCATCACTCCTTTCAGGAAGGTTTCTCTGGCTTGGAAGATAGTAAATCGTTGCTGCCTTATGCCACCTCTACACACTTGCTTGTTTTGTAACTCGTCTACATGCCTGCTATATTAGAACTTCCTGCAGGCAGGGACTATGGCCTGGCCCATGACCCAAGCTCATGTATGTTTTTTGCATGCACAAGGAATGAACAAATGGGTAAACAGGAGGCAGACTCGTGGCATAAATTCCAAGGATGATGCTCTAGCAGGGCTCACGCATTTTCACCTAAACAAGACCTTACTGTTGCAAAGGAAATAAAGAGAATTTGTTGAATGCAAAGAGTCAATCAACAACATCTCTGAATTCAACCACTCAAACACAAAAAGCTGCATCAGTGGTTGTCTCCACTCCACCCTTCTCTTAACTCTGCTTGCCACTGATGATTCTAGTCACAAAAATTTTTTTTTAATGTCAGCGTGATGTCTGATGCTTAGTAAGTGCTTTACAAATATTGTGAAGGGATGAATGAATGAATGTGAAATCTATTTTTTAAAAGAAGGCATCAAAGGATTGGCTTTTAAAGGCATTTCCCATATCACAGACTTTTCTGAGGCATCAGTGCCCCTCACCATTGAGTTGTCCATCACAAGACTGGACACAATCAGAAAGCAGAACAGACAGAGGGGCCTGGGGTAGCAGTTAGGCATCTGCACTAGAGACCTACTGTAGGGGGTTTTCCCTAGTCATATGTCAGTTTCCTCCCTTCTCAAGAAATAGCCCAACTATGGATGGTATTTCCTGCCCCAACCCAAAGGCTCTTGCCTCTCCTTTGTCAGAGGTCCACACGGGCCTCACCACAATCCGTGTTAACTAGGAACTTAATGCGCACTGAGGAAGGAGAACCCAGGTAGTTTCCTACCTTCATTTCAAGTGCTAACATTATGCAGTGGAGACCAGTCACAGAAATGGGTCCTGAACTAAAACCACCACCCTTGGGGATTAAAGTTTTCTGATCATCATAGCTGTTAAGAGCAAAGGCTCTGGACTCAGACTGATCTGGGTTCAAATACAGGCTCTGGATCTTTCTAGCCAAGTCACCTGGAACAAGTCAAGCATCCTTTGGGGGCTCAGTTTCCCTACCCAAAAAATGGGAATGATCTTACCCACATCACAGGATTGTTGTGAGGGTTAAAGGATATAATGCGTGTAAAGCCTTCACAGTGTCTATACATATGTATATATAGTAAGTGCTCAAAAATGGAAAACTATGATTAAGATCTTTCAAAAATACTTTTACAATAATTAGGATAAGAAGGGAAAATATTCTTTGAAGACACTGTGCTTTAAAGAGGATGGATTGTCTATTTTTTAGGAGCCAACCATGCTCACTAATCAATGCCCCATGGAAGAATCTGAAAAGATAGTGTTGGCATTTAATACAATAGCTGTGGCTATTATCAGGACCCAGGATAGACAGAGAGCGACAGGGCCAGGGACACCCAAGCATTTCTCTGATAGCGGGTCCTAGGGATTAATCCTGAAGGGCTCATCTCGTTCTCCTCTGCTGGACCCACACTGACTGAGTTGGAACCCAAAGGAGCCAAGGTCAAAGTGCCAAGGGTAAGATGCCAGTTCCAGTCTGTGAGCCAGTGCTTCCAGGTTTGAGGGAGGTCAGGGGACACCTGACCGCCACACAGGAGTGAGACAGGGAGAGCCACACTGCTCCGGGTACCATGCAAAGCTAGAAAGGCAGAGCACATCTGTGCTGTTCTGATCCTCCTCGTACAACCCAACGCTAATAGAGGATCTAAATTTCCCCAAATTTCTGCCCTGAGCACGAGACATTTTTCTAAGCTAAATTTGGTTTTAGTTTTGAAGCGTCTGAGATGCACAATTTCAATGGGTCAAGTTCCTGGCTTCTTCTATTGATTAAACTATCCCCAGTCCGATGGCTGACTTGGCTTGCCCTTCTGTCTGCCAACTCGCACCATCTTCCATCCGTGAGTCAGGAGGTTCCAGGAAGAAAGCTTGGGGTTAGTGGTCGGGAAAGCACAAGCTAAGCCATCAGCCCTTGGGAACAAAGATTAACTTCTGCTGGAGGGGACAGGTCAGTTTCTCTGATTACTGTGAGCAGCAGGGCAGGGACCCTATGCAAAAAAGAGAGATTTCTAAACGGAGTGATAGCTCCATCAGCAGGAGACTGGGTTCCCTCGAGGAAAAGGACCTTGCTCAGGGGAAGCCTCGACCTGTCTGACTTAGACTGAGCCTGTGAGAGCCTGCGGCCCACTCTGGCCTCCTTGCTCTGGGCTCAGATCAGTGGGCAGCATCCTCACAAAGGCGGCCCACAGCTAGGCAGTGTTATGTAGTGGAAAGAGCACTGGACTGGGAGCCAGGAGACCTGAATCCTAGTGCAGGCTCTGCCACTAACGAGCTGTGTGACCTTGGGAAAGTCACCTGTTTTCTTTGGGGCAACTGTAAAATGAGGAGTTGGTCAGGTGATCTCTAACTTCCCCCTCAGAGTGTGATCCAGGGTCCTGTTCTATCCCTCCTTGGCCCTGTGCTTCCAGGGACAGAGACGGGGCAAGGGAAGGGGAGGAGAGAGAGGATGCAGATGGGAGCCCGAGGGTGCTACGAATCAGGACTCCACTTTCTCCTTCTTTTTGCTCTTTTTCAGGAAGGATGGGGTTCGGAATTTCTTTTTCTTCTTTGAGGGAGACTTGGAAGGTGAGCCCTCTGGGGACATGGGGCCACTGGTGACCGATTCGGTTTTGTCCTTAGAGGTATCGACATCTGTGTCGGCACTGGTGGTCATCTGGCTCAAGCCTTTGCTGAGAACTTCCTCTGCGGTCTGCTCATCCTCTCTCCCGTTGACCACCACCACTCCTGGCTGAGTCGTGTCAGGCTCTGTGGTGGCTTTGCTTGTTTCTGTCTTCTTAGCACCTTCTAGAAAAACATCAAAAGACATGACCCATTTGATTTCATTCAGGTGAGAGCTTTCACCTGGGGTTACCAGAACCATTTCTGGGCAATTCTATAAAGTGAGTCTAGAGCAAGAGGAGGGGCAGGCTGACACTGTAGGAGGCAGGGGTAGGCAGGGTCCTCATCCAAACCCTACACTCTCTTCTATGTGGCCTGCCCTGGGGACAAGATCTTGGCAGGGCAGTAACTCTGGGCTCTTGTCTACAAATAGAAACAGGTAATGATGTCCCAACATGGCAGGGGCCCAGCTAGGACCCAGTTCAGAGCTTTTCTAAGCACAGAACAGGGGAACCGACACAGGTGAGGACAGAGGCTGTAGGAAGGGGGAGAGCAGTGTCATGTACAACTCAGTGGAGGCATCTAAGAATTGTAACTGGTTCAGTTTTACTAATAAAACCATGGAAATTATGTGTTTTCATACCCACTTCATTTCTTACACCAATGAGGAACTTTTGGAAATATGGAGTGTCTTCCCAGGAGGCAGAGAGGGGAAGGCAGAGGGAGGATGGAATTCCGTGGGGAACATGGACCCTGTGTTTCCAAGATATAAGGATTCACCGGAAGGGGAAGACGCCTGGTCGGCCCATTCTAGCAGCCACCGGGCCCCTCAGGTCTTTATTCTGCCTTTCAGATTGCCACCATGTTCAAGGCCAGAACTGCGCGGACCCCAGAACCTAAACCCGTCTGCGACCCTTTCTCCCCCTTCCCATTCTTACTCCACCCTGTTTCCACTCCAGCTTTGAAACGCGGGGATGGGGAGGGAGGAGGGAAAATGATAAAGTAGAAAGGAATGTAAAGATCATCTAGCTCAACTCCTCCCCATTTTACAGATATGAAAACTGAGTAAACAGCAAAAGAGTGGGCAGATCTAAGTCTCCTGACATCCAGTTCAGTGTTCTTTTCACTACGTGAAACCGAGAGGAGTGTGTGTGAGTGTGAGATGCGTGAGTGTGAGATGAAGGAGCCCCGCACACTCCGCTCTGCGGGAATGTGAGTAAATGGGGAAAGTAAGACTGGTGATACAGAAGAAGTGGGTGAAGATATAAGGTTCAAGAGAAGTAGTCTTCTTGAGAGGGTGAAGACTGGGGACCTGTATGGTTACATGGAGGATGGGACAGAAGGGGTAAATTTGGGGACAGTTAGAACAGGCTAGTTTAACTATCTGGGTAAACTCTTAGAATGAGGTATTTCGTAACTTCTGAAGTTGGCTGGGCAAGTCCAAGTCCTCTCCCAGATGACTACTGAGGACTCTCTCTCTCTTAGTGCTAGAGACCTTGGCCACTGGCTCCCATTCCTACTGTCTGGCCCACGTCTTGCCATCACTCAACTACCAGGTTCTCCAGCACCCTTGACTCCTACAGCCCTCACTCCCCTCCCACCAGTGTTTCCATGGCTGTCACTGGGCAGTACTGCAGTAAACCGGTGTAGACACAACCTTCTCTCTGTCCACTCTCTTCACTTCACCTGCTGCTTGGCCTCATGACCCTCTGGTCCCTGGACCACTCCCTGTCATTGCAGCCTGTTTCCCTCTATGTGGAAGGCCCTCCTCTCTCCTGTCTGTGTCCCCCACCCTCACCCCGGACAATAAATCAGCTTGAGCGTTACCTCTCCCTTAGAGTCTTCCCTGACCCATCCCTGCTTCCAGGCAGGATTTGTCACTCCTTCCTTTCTGTCTCCACTAGATAAACTGCCATCAGAGCAACTGTAAAATGATCAGTCTTCTTTTCTATGCCCATCTCCTTCTCAAAACTGAATAAATTAGGGCAAGACTATGTCTAATTATGTAACTAGCTCATAGGAGGTACTCAAAAAATACTTGTGGAATCCCTGGATGGTCAAACGCATGAGCAAACGAATGTGTGAATGGTTTTATTCTACCCAAGCCAATACCACCCCTCATCTTCTTTCTCGTCTGTCCCAGCCTGAGCCTTTGAAGCTGAACTGGATCCAGCCATGTAAACAAATAGCAGCCCCCTGTCCTGGTCTTTATCTCCTGTACCAATTCTCCTGTCCTCACTCTCAGCCTCTGGGGCTCTCGTACCCTCCATGATTCTGCCACCTCAATCCAGACCCTCACTGCAGGCCCCTCATTTGGATGACCCATTAGGACATGTTTCTTAAGGCTGACCCTCTCAGATGATTTGGGTACTTGCCTTCTAGCTCCATGAACACAAGTGTGAATAAGAGGGGCTCCCACTTTCTGTCCAGGTGCCATCTCCTGCCCTGGTGGTGTCGGGTATCCTTGCTCCAACAGTGCCCTTCATCCATGCCTTTCACCCATACCTGCCCTGCTGTCAGCCTCACCTATAGCCTCAGCCCCTGGTGTCTTGGTTTAGGAGAGTGACACTCAAGGTTCTTCTCATCACCCAGAAGATGAGGCCACACGGAGTGCACCCACACTATGGATTGATAGAGCTCCCACACTGTGAACTGTTTGGGTGGGTAGCAGCAAGTGGAAAGTGGGGCTAGTGGAGACACAATGGGCCTTGGAGGAGCCAGGTTCCAAATCAAGGTCACCACTCCCTCAGCTATAGGGGACAGAGAACACTGGAGGGTTCCATTGCCCAAGAGAAAGGGCAATGGGGCAGGGCCCCAGAAATAAACACTTATTGGGCTCCTGGAGAGTATTAAGGACCAGTTTTGAGAGCTCCAGATCCCTCCTCTGTTATCAGCCCAGGAGAATAAAGGTCGGAACCACACAGAGCTCTCAACTGGTCTTCAGCTATTTGAAAACCAGGCTGGGAAGGGCCCCAAGAGCTAGAGGTAGACGGGGGCTCACCTTCTTAGCATCCTCTAAGAACCACTAGCTTTCTCTCCCAGGCGGGGCACCTGGAGCTCTGGCAGTAAGGGACAGATGTGGGGGTGGGTGGAGTGGGGCAGAGGCTGGAAGATGGGGGGCTCTGTCCAAGGATGGTAGCCAGGAAGCCGGGGGAGGGGGAATCGGAAGAGTGGGTGATTTGGAGCAAGAATGGACTTGGCAGCCAAGGTCCACATCCAGACTGCTGTAGGTTGGGAGACAAAGGGCTGAAAGGCTTGCAGAGGCTGGAGGAGGGAGGGAGGTGCAGAGCTTGTCTGGACACTCTGCCACTCAGACTTGACTTCTCACTATCCCTCAGCCTCCAGCTGCTTGTCTCTCTGTCCTCCAATGTCCCCCTCCAGGAATGCCCCCTCCCCCAGCTTCCTGGCCACCACCCCTGGACAGCCCACTCTACTCCTGTCTGCTAGTCTGAGTGTGTATCTCCCCAAGGCCTGGCTCAAGTCTCCCTTGACATTTGACAATGATCTTGCCTTCCTCTATTTATTTATTTTTTTATTTATTTTTTAATTTTTTTGTGAGGAAGATCAGCCCTGAGCTAACATCCATGCCAATCCTCCTCTTTTTGCTGAGGAAGATTGGCTCTGATCTAACATCTATTGATCTTGCCTTCCTCTAAACCTACTGCCAATACATTCATTTTACACTTGAATGTGTCATTTATCCTTTTTTTTTTTTAAGAGCCCACACTTGGGTGTGGTTCCCCCCTACACACCGAATCTGGCCTGGCCCTGTGGCTCACAATAACCAACAGAATGCAGAGCAAGTGCCACTGAGCCAGCCTCAGGCTGAAGGCCTAGCAGCTTCTCCTTTTATAGTTTGGGGAGCCCTGAGCTGCCATGCGTAAGGTCCGACTTTCCTGATGGAAACACACATGGAGAAGCCACATGGAGAAGCCCTACAACCACAGGGAGAAAGAGAGAGGCAGAGAGACAAAGGGAGAGAAAGACCCAGACATTCCAGTGTCCCAGCTGAGCCCAGCCTTCCAGCTGCCCCTGCCAAGGTGCCTGACATGTGAGTGCCCCATCTTGGAGTTCCAGTTTAGTCAAGCTCCAAGATGACTGCAGCCCCAGCTGACATCGGTGGAGCAGAAGAACCACCCAACTGAGTCCAGTCAACCCACACAAGAACTAATTTCCACAAAACCAGTTCTTATTATGCACCATGATTTAATCATTATCTATTGCTGTATAACAAACCACCCCAAAACTTAGTGGCTTAAAACAGCAAGCAGAGTGTTCTCTCTCACAATCTGAGAAGAACATACTACATAATAAGAACTAATTTATGTAAGCACATTAGAAGTTCTTTTTATATTCATTAGCTCATTTTATCCTGATAACAATGCTGTGAGCTAGGAATGGCAAGGATTTGTGTTATTCCCCCATTCTGCAGTGTTTTTAAGTGACTTATTTGAGATGGCTAAGTTAGTAAGTGACAGAGCTGATCTTCTGATGTTAAATGCCCAGATATTTCTTTGCAGGTATAGCCAGTGCTCCTGAGGGGTCACTGGGGGATGGAGTCAGCAGGGACACAGACAGTCAGGAGCTAGTTAAAGAGAAGGCAATGACACAAATGGCCAGATGTCAAGGAAGAGGATTTGAAAGGCTCTCCTTCAGAGAGGCTGATGGGGTAGGACTCAGGGAGACAGATGAGAAGTGACATGGAAGTGACTCACCACAAGAGGACTTGAGACCATGGTGACAAACAATGAAAAAAGCCATCTCTGATCCAAGGAGCGAGCGAAATGTGAAAGTGCAGATGCTGCTCAGAGGGTCAGCCCTGTCTGCCCTGAGGAGCTGTGCAAGCCATGAGGCAACCTGGCCAAGGCCACCCAGCTCCACTTCACACCCGTCACCCCAGGCAGCTACAACCCGCGCCTCATCACGCAGGGTCTGCTCCAAGGAGACCTAGGCTCCCCAGCTCTGGGGAAGAGTCTTCAGGGATGACCTTCACTTTTCTAAAGACTCAACCACGGTATGCCCCTCCACAGGAGCATAGATTCGGACCAGAGAGAAGCAGGAATCCTGCTGCAGTGGGAACGATGTCAGGCAGTGGGTAAGCAGTTATCCCAGCCATCACACAGCCCTCCTCCTGCCCTCTGTCCCACAAAGCAGCAAAACTTGGTCACTCCAAGGGGCTCCTAGGAGCTGAAATGGAATTGCCACCCCTTGTCCTACTCTTCTCCCACCCAGATTTCCCTCCTGCAGCTGATGCGCATGCCCTGAAGGACGCTGAAGACCACAGTCACACTAGGTGCTCTATGCATCCCTATTAGGCAGTCGGTTCCCAAGGCCATTCAGGCTCTGGCCCACAGCCCTAGAAGAGGTCACGGGCTCCTCAGAGGACCCCATGCACTAGGACAGGGATGTAGTGTGCTCCTGAGGGCCATGAGCACTCCACTACAGGCAGTGCCCCAGAGTGGCCCCACTGCCCATTCACTGTGGGGGCTTGTTGCTTCTGGGTGGTATGTCCCACGTGAGTATGGGGGTGTGTTTGTGCATGAGCCTGTCCTATGTGTGTATATCCTAGAGGGAAGCCTAGTCCATGCAGAGCACATGTGGAATTGGTCATGAATTTTATAGCCAGGAAACCTCCTGAAGGCAGGGTTGTGAGTTACAAAAGAAAAAATTGAGGAGGAATATATTTCCTTTGAAAAAGTCTTCCTCCCCCATTGCGAGTGTTGGCGTGAGTTAGTAAACAGCCTGTCTATACTTACTACAGAGACAAATATTCAGAATCGGAGGAAACTCCTTTGATGAAGGCACAAATGGGAAGAGAAAGGAAGACATTGTGGAGACAGGCTGACAACACCACGATGAGACACAACGAACATGAACAGTCGGGGGACATCCACTTGGAGCTCTGGCCTCAAGCAGATGGGTTTCCTCTGGCATCGCTGGGCCTGCCCTCAGGCAGCGATTCACCTATGGAGGGACCTCAGGGTTTGGGGGATTCTAGCAGCATCCATACGTGTGGCCATTCTACTCAGGAGGAAGAAGATTCCAACAGGCCACCACGCTGCTGCTCTCTGCATGTGGACAGCCTCCCCAGCGAGGGCTCTTGGGGACCCAGGGAAGAGGGCTCATGCCCTGGAGAGAGTCCAGGAGCTTGTTCAAGACACTTCTATGATCTAGGTGGTATGGACTATAATAGCATTACTATCTACCATATGTATATTATTAATCATAATAATAATTAGATCTTACATTTAAATCATGCTTTTACTCTTTCAAAGTATGTTTTCAAGTACAACTTCCCTTACACATATAAGAACCTTAAAAAGGGAAAATATTAGTAGCCCCATTTGACAGATAAGGAAACTAAGGCACTGAGATTATCTGATTTTCTCAAATTAGCAGTTGAGTTACTAATAGTTAGCAGTTGAGTTGGGCCTAGACCTAAGTTCTCTACACTAGCATCTTTCTAATGACATGGTTCTCAACCTGGACTGCACATTTTTTAATTT